GACAGAGAACGCTGCCACAAAGAAGGGCGAAACGGATGGCGGTGGGCAGCAAACGGTGGGCATGAACCTGACCAGGACCGCTACGCCGGCACCCAGCCAGACGTTGATCAGCTCAGGTGAGTGCAGACTGGTTCCTTCTCTTGGAGCCCACTGGGCTCTCGCAGGAGAGTGCCGTTGGGAAATCCCAGTGGCGAGAGGTTTCCCAGCACGCCTCCCAGCCTCTCTGCTCCCGAAGGCTGGTCTCTAGGGGTTATCCCTCTCTGTTTGCAAGAGAAGGTGATTTAGTCCGCCATGTCCTCTGCCAGTAAGCTGTCAGATATTTTAGAGTTTAATGACTCAAACCAGTGCAGTGGCTGCCTGCCTGTTGTTGTTGTTGTTCCCAGCTGCGCTGTTGCTAACTTTTGTGCTCTCCTCTTTTCCCTGTGTTTGTACAGCCACATATACACAGATCCAGCCACACTCGCTGATCCAGCAGCAGCAGCAGATCCACCTGCAGAAGCAGGTGGTGATCCAGCAGCAGATCGCCATTCATCACCAGCAGCAGTTCCAGCACCGCCAGTCCCAGCTCCTCCACACAGCCACCCATCTCCAGCTAGCCCAACAGCAGCAACAGCAGCAAGCACCATCTCTGACCCAACAGCAGCAGCAAGCTCAGCCTCCGCCACAGCAGGCTCCAGCTCAAAACCAGCAGCAGGCACAGACCCTTGTGGTGCAGCCTATGTTGCAGTCCCAGCCACAGCCTGTGCAGCTCCAGCAGGACAGTCCTTGCCAGCCAGCTACCAAGTCGCCTGTTCCAATTCAGTCAAAATCTCTCGTCGCCCCCATCAAACCACCTCAGCTTGGGCCTGCCAAGATGTCAGCAACGCAGCAGCCTCCACCACACATCCCAGTGCAGGTGGTGGGTACTCGGCAGCAGGGCTCAGGCCAAGCCCAGGCACTGGGTTTGGCTCAGATTGCTGCGGCAGTGCCGACGTCCCGGGGAATGCCAGCTGTGGTCCAGCCTGTTTCCCAAGCCCATGCTGCTTCCCCATCGTCATCATCATCTTCAGCTCCAGCATCCTCACAGGAAGCTCCCCCTCTCACCACAGGGGTGAATTTGGCACAAGTTCAAGGCACAGCCCACATGGTGAAGAGCCCAGCCTCCTCTCCAGTTGTGGCTCAGATGCCAGCAGCATTCTACATGCAGTCTGTCCAGTTGCCAGTAAGTGATACCATTGAGAAGGAGAATAGCATATGGATTCTCTTTGTTCATTCCTAGGACATCAGTCGCAATCCAGGCCCAGGTCAGTGGGATGGGATGGGTAAGGGGTTTGGGCAAAGGGTTGTGGAGACTATTTCCTCTCAACAATACTAATTCCAGTCCAACCCCTGGAGTTATTGACTGCAAGCATTTCTCTTCCACATTCTCCTCCAAAGGCTTGCATGAAGTAAATAGGTGAGACCCATATCCTGCCCCAAATGGGGGTAGGTGTCCACATCACATACTAAATATTACATTTAACGATGTGGTGGGTTCACCTTGGGTGGCTGCCGGGTGACCACCAAGCTGTTCTGTCACTCCTCTTTCACAACAGGACAGGAGGAGAAAAATACAATTAATATCTCATTGGTCAAGATAAGGACAGGGAGATCACATACCAATTACTGTTATGGGCAAAACAAACTCAATTCAAGGAAATTAATTTACTTTATTGCCAGTTAATCAGAGTAGGATAATGGTTAATAAGAACAAATCTAAAAAACCACCTCCCCCTGGTTTTTCATGGGCTCAGCTTCACTCCCAACTCTTCTGTCTCCTCCTCCTGAGTGATGCAGGAGGACAGGGAATGGGAGTTGTGATCAGTTCATGATGTTTTATCTTTGCTGCTCCTTCCTCCTCACGCTTTTCCCTTGCTGCAGCGTGGGATCCCTCCCACGGGATACAGTCCTTCATGAACTTCTTCAATGTGAGTCCTTCCCATGGGCTGCAGTTCTTCACAAACTGCTCCAGCGTGTGTCATTTCCATGGGGTGCAGTCCTTCAGAAACAGGCTGCTCCAGTGTGGGTCCCCCACGGGGTCATGAGTCCTGCCAGCAAACCTGCTCCAGCATGGGCTTCTCTCTGTGGGGCCACAGGTCCTGCCAGGAACCTGCTCCAGCACAGGCTCCCCACGGGGTCACAGCTTCCTTCAGGGTACATCCACCTTCTTCAGGAAGGTGTCGCAGGATTTGTCTGATTTTTAGAGAGGGGGGACAATTCTGCTCTCATCCCACATGTGTTCCCTGCTCCTTTGACTCTCCTTCATTGAAACTGATCTGATTTAGCCAAAAGCCTGTTTGTTTGGAAACTGCTGGGTGACTGCCATTCCATTTCTGTCTTCCTGGAACAATCCTTTGAGGTTCACACAGTGTCTGGGTATTACGTCAATGTATCAACATGAATTGGGACACCAGATCCTAGCCATAGCGGTACGGTAGTGAGCTGTCTGAAGTTTTGCTTCCTGTTAGGCGAATGCTCCTAAGTAGAGGTACGTACTGCGAGGGAGCTAGAGGCATCTCCAGGAGAAGGAACCAGGCTGGAAGTGAAGTATGATGGAGCAGGATGCATCTTCCTTTTGCCTTTGATCTGTCTTGTTCTTTGCTTTGGAGCTTCTGTCTCTGCTTACGTGTTCCTCTTTGTTCACGCAGGGCAAGTCTCAGACCTTAGCGGTAAAGCGCAAGGCAGAGTCAGAGGAGGAGAAGGAGGAGTCACCCAGTATCGCTGCACTCCTGCCTGCCAGGTCCTCTCCTGTGACAGACAGCCCCAAAAACATGGAGGAGAAGAGTGGCCTTGGAGGTGAGGTACAAAGTAGAGCTCTGCTTGCGCGTGCTAATGATCTCATCTTGTATTCCATTTGAAGTAGATGGAGCAAAGCTAACTGACTCTTATGCTGTTAACTCTACAGATAAATCTGATTCTGCTGCCATTGTAACCCCAAATACCACCTCGAGTGAGGGAGCATCAGTCACCCCGACCTCTGCTCCTGCCCCAAACCTGGCAATGGTGTCACGTCAGATGGGAGACTCCAAACCCCCACAAGCCATCGTCAAGCCCCAGATCCTCACACACATCATTGAAGGCTTTGTCATCCAGGAAGGAGCAGAGCCCTTTCCGGTAGGGATTCTCACCTGCGGGGGAAGGAGGTGTAGCTCTCTCTTGCAGGTGTGAGTGGGCTTCCATCTTTAGACAGGAGTTTCTTTGCCCATATTCCAACTCAGCATTTTTCGCCTGAGACGCTGACAGTGAGGAGGAAGGGAAAGAAGGGAGGTGTTGTGCATGAAGCAAGGCATGAAGCAGTGGCATTAAAGAGAATGGCTTGGAAGGAGTAAGACAAGTGTCACGGGAACTTTTTCTCCAGTAGTCCCCAAAGCAATAATTTATGCAGGAATTGTAAGAAGGTTCTTCTCTCTGATTTTTAGTGAGGGAAGGATGTGCTGCATTTTGAACAAGCAGCAAGTGAAGTTAAAGCAAATAAGGGGAAATGAAGTTACATGGAATTGCAGGATATTCAAGACAGATAGTACTTGGTGGTCGTTGAATGAACCGCCAAGCCTGTGAGTCAGGAAGGAGTAATAGCTTTGTTCAGCATCTCTCCTTCCCTAGTACGCAGAGGGATTCTTCTGAGCTGTAATAAGGTGTGAGTGACATATACCTTGCAGAGGGCGGTGGACACAGAGAATCCTTTACCAATGGGCCCAACTCTTTCTCTTCCTGTCCAGGTGGGTTGTTCTCAGCTGCTGAAGGAATCTGAGAAACCGCTCCAGGGAGAGGCTGCTTCTGGCCAGAGTGAAAACCTGTCCAGCAATTCTCCGGGAGGAGACAGTGCTTCTATGGGTGAGTTTCAGCACCAGGAGGCCCAGCTAGTGTTACTGAAGGTTTCTGCTCTTTGATACTGTATGACTAACTTTATACATTATGGACTCGTATGTGTTCCTGCTAACTCCTTAGAGACTCAAGCTGTGGACACCTAGGATCTCGTTTTCTTGAGTGCCAGAAGACAATACTTTTTTGCTGCTGTTAATATGATCTAACACACCCTGTGTCAGCAGTAAGCAGGAGAATCTGAACTGTACCTGTCTCTAAGGTCTTTGAAGGCTGTGAAGGATGTGTGGACACAGCAGAGAGTGCAGTGATGGAGATGTCCCCCACCACCTTGTAGGATATGAGGGATATGCTATATTTTGCTTGTTCAGCAAGGAGAAATAAATGGCCCTGTTCAATATCCTGGTGTCCTAATGAGCGGAGCTTCTGCCTCTTTCCCCAGATTCTTCCCCAAGCTAACTGCTTAGTAGATTCAGTGGAGAATATTGGCTAGGAATCTGTCTGCTCAGAAGAGGAGCAGTGGCATGGGGAATGACTGCGTGTGATCTGCTTCAGTTTAAATCACCAACTGGTGTGTCTGTCTGTGTCTCACTAGAGCTTGATAAGAAGGCAAATTTGCTGAAGTGTGAATACTGTGGGAAGTATGCCCCAGCAACCCAGTTTCGTGGCTCCAAGAGGTTTTGTTCCATGACCTGCGCTAAAAGGTAACGGCAAGACATAATCTTCCTTTCGCTGTCGATACATTTTCTGGAAATGGGCATGTGCCCCTTTTCCAGGTAGTGTACAACACTTCAGCGCATCTGATCCTACCTCCGTGGGATGCACTGGCCACAGAGATCCTTTAGGACTCTAAATGATTTGTGAATGCTTGTGGGTCTGCAGAGGTGGATGTGGTGTTGAGTGTAAACAAGATTTCTGACTTGCTCAGAAAATGAAGTGGAAAGGGGGAAGTCCTGGGGCTCCAAAGAACTTCTCTTCAACCTCAAATGTACATTTGACTGACTAAACGAATGCATACTGGTAGCTGTCCGCTGCATTAGTACCAGACAAAGACACAAGGAGCCCTGGGGAAGAACCTGGGGGGTTAGATTAGTCGTTTCTGCCGCCTGTTGATAGCGGGGTGCTTGTTATGGGTCTTGTTTCCCTTAGGGGAACGACTTAATTGACCCTTCAGATATTAGTTCAAGACTCTGGTGCCCAGATATTGCTTGTGTCAGAAGTCTGGGCTGGTTCCTTCCAAGGGGAAGCCTTAGAAGGAGGAGGAACAGAACTTGATGGTACAGAGGAGTTTTATCCCCATCTAGAGCAAGGAGAAGCAGTAGGTTTAGATAGCTGCTGTTTCCTAACTGCTGCTCTGCTTCTACCTATTTGAGGTACAATGTCAGCTGCAGCCATCAGTTTCGGCTGCAGAGAAAGAAGATGAAGGAGTTCCAGGAAGCTAACTATGCTCGTGTGCGCCGACGGGGATCGCGGCGCAGCAGCTCTGAAATTGCTCGAACGAAGATCCAGGGCAAGCGCCACAGGGTAAGGCCACCGTCCTGTCCGCCTCTGTCAAGGCAGGTCTCGGCGCAGAAGCCGTCACTGCTGGACGTACCGCTTTCTCACCGCGGATGTAGCTGTGCAGGACGTGCCCAGTGCGCACTGATACAGCTGTTACACAAGGCACAGGGAGCTGCTCCAGTCGCTTATCGACTGCAGAAAGTGGATTCACATTTGTACTTGCTCTGTTCACTCTGCGTTCACTCCCGCACATGTCTCAGAGGTCTCGGTGAGTGAGATCAGCTGACAGCCTTGGTAGGAAACAATTCATTTTTCCCATTTGATTAGCATCCTTCCACATGAATGATTTCGGTCAGATTATAGAAGAATTGAATGAGCTTCAGTGCTGACGTGAGGAAGAGGAATGGACTGCGGGAGGATGAGGAGAAGGAAGAGGAAGGGAGGCGAGAGCAAAGTCTCCCCTCTCTGGCATCAGGGAGCTCTCGTGCCAGCTGCCTCTGGACCAACAGCCTGAGACAGTGGTCCCAGCCTGCTGGGACAACTTCTGCTGTTCCCAATGCCTTGTTTTTCACCTAGCAATTGTGAATTTCTGACAAGATGCCTTCTGTTTTGTTTCTTTCTTGTGGGCTTGTAGGGCCAGGAAGACTCAAGTCGAGGCTCTGATAACTCCAGCTACGATGAAGCTTTGTCCCCTACATCTCCAGGACCCCTGTCAGTAAGGGCTGGTCATGGAGACAGGGACCTGGCGAACTCTAGTATGGCCCCACCTACCCCAGACCTACATGGCATCAACCCAGTCTTCCTGTCCAGCAATCCCAGTCGCTGGAGTGTGGAGGAAGTGTACGAGTTCATTGCGTCACTGCAAGGTGAAGTCAAGATCCTCTCCTGCACTCCTGTGATCCAGTCGCGTGGGGAAATTTGTTGGCTCTCTTTCTGGAAAGAAAGCGGTGTCAGTGGTGCCTAGTGCTTTTATTGTACTTTTGGACATGTTTCTGAATTGGAGTAGGTCCTACAGATGTATGACTTGTACTTGTCAAGTAGCCTGTGCCTTCAGGCAGACTGTGGAGTAGCATGGGGAAGGGGGTTGGTTAGATTCCTAGCTGGCTTTCTGTACCTGCCAGAGGCCCAAGGAGGGGGAACGAGGGGAGTGCCCAGGGCCCATCTATTTCTCAGTGCTGGTTTTTTTGGTTTCACAGGGTGCCAGGAGATTGCTGAGGAGTTTCGGTCACAGGAAATTGATGGCCAGGCCCTGCTGCTTCTGAAGGAGGAACACCTCATGAGTGCCATGAACATCAAGCTGGGACCAGCTCTGAAGATCTGTGCCAAGATCAACGTCCTCAAGGAGACCTAACAGCTCTGAAGCCAGAGGTCTCACTTTTGCTGTGACCCCGGGGCAGCTGCCAGCTTTGGAGCATCCTGCTGGGGCGGGGAAGAATGGGACAGTCCCCTGTGGTCTTGCATTCAAGAAGAATGAGAAGGAATTTAACTGATTGAAACTGCGATGCACAACAAGCCCATGTCTTGGTCTCTTAATGGTGCTACAAGGGGGAAGGGAAACTCCCACCTGGGGCCTTGAAACATCTTTCCTTCTTCCTGATTTTGAATATGCCTCTCTCGTATACCACACGAAGACGTGAAGGGGACCTCTTTCTGTCTTAGCAGACTTCTGACAGGGAACTGCCTTCGCTCCTTTTTGCTACAGCAGGTCTGCTTGATCTTAGTTTTGAATCTCACTGTGCCAGAACTTGAGGCATAGGAAGAGCCGGCCCCACATGGACAAGCTATGCTTGGGGCGTTTAGGAAGAACTACTGAATTCCAAGTGACAGAGAATTGGAGCAAAAGGGGCTGCTGCTGTTCCACTCTTTAAGAAAAATAACCGAGGCTGTTCACGAACTGGGTTTAATAGCCATTCCAGCATGCATACCAAACCTGAAGGCCTGTGGCAATAGGAGCTGCCTTAGCTTTACTGTCTCCTGTCGAGATGCAGAGTGAAGACAAAGTGTTGTGGCAGCTACTCACTCCTGCTGCTCCTCTCTGAACCAGTCAGAGGGGGCTTTATCATGAATGCTTATGACAAGGTGATTGGAAAATTGAAGGGGAGGGCGACTGTTTAACATTAAGGAACCCTGCAGCACTAGGTTTGTCTCCCCATTGTGCTTAGGGCATAATTTACAGATCCAAAGCAGTTTCCAGAAACGCCAAGGCTCTTCATAAAATGGGCTGGGTTTTGTTTTATTTTTTTCTCAGTTTGTATCAGTTTGTATTATTTTTGTGTCTGTCTTCATTATCCTCAGGAGAGCTAATGGGACAAAAGTATTAGCTGGCAGGATTATATTGCCTGCCTCAGGCTCTTTTTTTTTTTTTCTTTTTGGTGGTGTTGTAAAACAAACGTTTCTCTGCCTCAGTTAAAAAAACAACACACCCACCAACAACTAAATATTGATCTTTTAATGCTACTTCTCCTTTCTAAGGAGTAGAATTCTGTCATAGGCTGAGTCCCTCCCTTTCAGGCCCTCTAGGTCTGTATTTTTCTTTGTTTTTTTCTTTGTTTTTTAAGGACCAAATGTGGTATTCTGAAGTTCTGTAACCAGATTGCCAAAGGTGAAAACCTGGGCAGAGCTCTCCTCTTCCAGAAGCAACTCTGCTTCAAACAAACTAACAGGCAAAAAACCTGAAGAAATTACAGGAAGCATGAAGAGGGAAGTGGACCCTAGAGCCCAACACCTGAAAGCAAGATGATTACGTAAACCATGCGTCTCAGCTTCCCTGTTTTCAGAAGTTTCATGTGATTATTTGAGTGAAGCATAAGACTGTTTTGTGTGAAAAGCACCTACTGTTGCAGGAAAGCTGTAGTGGCATGGGAAGAGGCCTAATAGCATAGATAAGAATTAATTAGAGATCTTTGGAATGGGCTCTTTATTGACCCATGTTAGAAAAAGAGGAGGGAAAGCGCTTAGAAGATGGGTGAGACAAGGCAGCAGCTTCCTAGTCTTAGCTGTGCTGTTGAATCTCACTTTAATGTCATCCTGTGAGAGAAGAGTTCTGAGGCTTCTTGAATGAAAACAGGCCCAAGGAAGCTGCACATGCTTGCACCCTGGAAACACTGTTTGGTCTGATGTAGTCTGGGGGCAGGGAAGGGGGAGGTTTGACTCTCTGACCACAGTCAGCAGAGGAAGGCTGCCCTTAAACCATTTTATCCTTAGCAGGCTGGGTGTGATAAAACTCCTACTGAGTTCAACCCTTGGCAGGGTAGGCAGGCAGCTAGCCTGCCTATGTCACTAGCTACTTCTGAGGAACGGATTTTATTTCAGTCAAAGGGGAAGGCTTTACTTCTTCATTCCATGTTCAATGTTCTTAATAAAAAAATGCTTGTTCAGGCTTTGCAGGTGTGGCTGCTTTATACCCCCCCCACCCTGAACATTAACCAGGTGTTTTAAAAGTACAACCTTCATCAAAAAGTTACTTTCGATTTTTATTGCTGCAAGAAATACAGATCACAGGAAACTTTTCTCATCTGTAACTCCCTGAGCTTTTAAAGTTTCAGTTATTAAAGATGTGTATATCCCTTCTTGCTAAGCCCTAAGGGAACTGGAGTGATAAAAGGTGACAATGAAAAACATGCACGGACAAGAAGAGATCCATTCCTGGCAAAAGATTTTCAGGCACAAAGCACCACACACTAAGGAGCCTTCACCCTTAGATCAGTAAGATGCTCTGGCACCAAAGAAAGCTCCCATTACATCAGCACAACACTTCACCAGGATTTTTGGTCATTTTATTTTTGAAAGTTGTGTTTTGTACAAAAAAAATTACCTTAAACACCACCATGAAAAACGGTAACAACAGACTTAGTGACTTCCTATTTTTCCCATGTTATGAGAAAGATTGAGACTGTAACAAAAGTCAAAGAAAGCAGGAACTGTTTGCTCACTCCAAACCCAGCAAGAAAGCAGGGCCACTCCTTTTCCCTCAATGCCACTGTTCAGACTGCTTTGGCAGAATTAAAAATACATGAACTTTGTCTGCATTCCACTGTTCGCAGCAGTGGCTTGCTTTCTCACAGTTTCTGCCCTCAAGACTGGACAGCTGTCTGCCAGTCTATGGTAGGGCAGAACGGGATTGTGTAGAGTCTAGCCCCTCACATAAAAAGCAACTAAGAATCAAGGTGCCAAGTTCCTGAAGGTTCCTATTAAGTCTTACAACTCAGCTGTACCTGCTTTTTTTTTTTCCACCAGCACCCCAGGAGAAGGTTCCCTCTCACTCCCAGCCAGTAGCAGTATGCAAGTACCATATGCACAGGGCAAGTGTCTAAAGATTGGTCTGCACCATGCTCAAGGGGACAGTGATTTATGAAAGCTGACCCTGTAAATGCCCGAGTCCCTTACACAGTTTTGAAGGTGTTAGCATTATCCTTGGCTTCTACAGTTCCTTTTTCCATTAAAAAAAAAAATAAAAAATTCTGTTTGCTTCATGGGAAAACCCTCTGCCAAACAAGGAACTTTCAGAGAGCATGGAATCACAATGCTGACAGTGGCAGCTACCTTTCTCGTGCCTTGATGTCAGTTTCAGCAAATGTTCCCCTTACTTAGGGGCACCTCCTTTCCTTTTGCTTCTCAATGATTGAGAAGACCGAGACAGTATTTTGACTGACCTGGAAAGTCACAAGACTGTATTCAACTCCTACAGTTTTTTAGCACTGCCCCTCTCCAGTCAGAGGATGGCACGCATCCCTTTACGTTTGTTGAAGGGAACTAGTGTGTACTCTTCAACATATTCCCATTAGCAAAAGAAAAGACTGCAGAGGTGCTAATGCCCCTTCCACCCCCCGGAGTCTGGGTAGCGCACTCTGTGCAGGTTGTGCTGGCAGAAATAGTGCGTAACAGTGCAGAAGCTAGAAAAGCTGAAAACGCACTCAAAGAAAAATCCAGTGTCTTACAGATCCTGTAAACCCTAGGGGGAGCAGGGGGGGGGAGAAGAAAGAAAAAAGAAAGACAAAAGATCCCTCCTCCAGTCTCAGCTGTTTTCACCCACTGCCTCCTCTTCTCCTTTCCCCAGCCATGGT